CAGCAATTTCCCTCGTGTGTGCAAATAGAAAAGTCCAATAGAAAGAATCGCACGATTTCTTATAATACTTCAGTCAATATTTAAATAATATCATTCAGGATTTCCGATTAATCGAAAGGGCTTGAAATGTAATTACTCGGTTTACGTTTGTCAATCAAATATCGACCAAATACTGTTATAATAGTACAATACACAACACACAAAGATTTATATTTACAGGAAGGTTAACAATTTCATTGACGGTGTATATTTCTTAATGGAAACAAAATATTGGAACAGAAGATTGCAATTCCTCCCTCTTTTCAAACACACATGTGTATCGTTTAAAATATAATTTAAAAAGAAAATGCATATAGTTCCAAATAACTAGCTACTTGCCAATGGCAGTAAATATGTGATCAAATCTTAAGTGACATTTTACATTGAAACGTGTAATACCTAAAACCGCTTCTCTGTATCAACGACATTGCAATTTTCTACAGAAATGTACCCTATATGCACAGTTAGACTTAAAACGATTGGAGATAGTAATCATGGCCTCGTAGTATGAATGAAGGTCCATTTACGTAGGCCCATTTACAAGGTCCATACTGATGGGATTATGACGTAATTTTACGTGAGCCTAAAGTGTACATACCAAGTAGATAAACGGTGACACGTATGAAAGACTTGCAGGTGCTAGACGGTATAGCAATCGAAGTTTAGATAAAGCTTTATGTGCATGAAAAAACTTCACGACATACGAAGAATTTTGATAAGTAATGTAACAACACCTCCTTTCACGTGTTATTTCTTAAGGCGAGTTACGAAGTTTATTTCTAGAAAATTGAATAAACACTGCCTCGAAAATTTCACGATCCAGAAGTAAATTACGTTATGTCACCTTTTATTTTATTCGCGTATTTGTATCATTTTCAATTTTCGTAACATAAATTTTTTTTTTTCCAAAAAATCAGAATAGCAACTAAATATTAAAATTTTCAAGTTTGTATATGCAATAGAAGAAAGAAATGTTTTATTGTATTTGTTAAAAAGAAAACGGCGTGTCTTTAATTGTCGTTTCTTCATTATACTGTAATAATGAAATATTAATAATGTCATTGCAATTCAGTCGTTGTCCCATTCATAATAATACAATATCTGTACATTCACATGTATACAAACTCATTTATGTTTTAATGACACATGTTTTCCCACTACACATTCTGCTTAATATTCAGTGCACGCGTTACTTTTTCCATTCATTATCGGTTGTATCGTTGGAAAATATGTGATTTAAATACCAAAAAATTCCAATGATATAGCTAAGGCTTAAAAATGACACGAAAATATTAAATATTGTTGCAAAGTGAAAGGAAAAGTGAAATATTTAAAATGTCCAAATTAATAAAAACTGACATAATTACTTAAAATAAAATCCTTACTTTGAAACACGCTATGTTTCTAAAAATATTTAAAATTCCTTACAAATCAGCATGTTTGTAATTAAGGAAGTCTCAAATAATCAATAATATAACGAATACAATAGTCTAACTAGAGAGCAAGAAAATAAAAAATCCATTTAAAATAACTGGAAAGATAAAGACCAATTTTGATTCAAAACCACCAGAGAAATACAATGCACGCTGTGAATTGCCTGGATATTAAAGTCAAGTGAAATATATTTATTATACTTCCTTATCGATCGATCAGCCATTTCACACTAAATCGATGCGTTCGAAAATAAATTAAAGTGACAATAAAAATTCACGTAACACAAATATTTCAGGAAAGAAAATCGTCTTCTATAATGCTAACAATAAATTTAAATAAAAGAAAAGTAAAATTAACTAAATTATAAAAATATTATAAAATATTGTATTAAGGCTTAACCAACAAATATACTAATTTGAAGTTTAAGTAAAAATTAAAAAACTAAAAATATAAATCAGTACGAAACGTTATATATTTCAACTTGATACGACAGAATTTAATTTTTCAGTTAAAATGCGTCTCAGAAAGAAAGATAAAACTCTTTGGCCTGTATCCATATGCATTTTTTCCCTTATTTACAGCTGGCTACTTTTTCCTGAAAAGATCCCTTGATTCATCAGTCCATTCGTGAAATCGCAAAATATAGATTCATATAAAAATACATAAGTGTATAAAAGTAAAAACATAAAGCAGACTTCCTTACACTTCTGTGTACATGTTACTACCTACTGGTAGTGCCAATAAATAAATAAATATTCCTTTGCATTGCACTTGGTACGAAAAAGCACAAGTATCGGTATAATTAAGTATTATAATTGTATCTTTCTAAACATTAAAATGTAATATCAAACAGTAACAAGAATATTTCAGAATGAAAATATTTCACAGTATACCTACTATGTTAACTTCATTATACAGAGATTATTATAAAAAGTTAATCACTTTATTTTAAATGATCTATTTGTTAGGCATACCGCCGTGAATCGTTAATTGGAAAAAGATTTTTCATAAATTCAATTAGCATTTACAATTGCAGGAAGCGTAAGATAATATATCACTGATAAAACTATTCCACAGTTTTCTTCTTATACCAAGAGAAAATGTAATAAAAACAGCCGGTGTGATTATCAAGAAATACAGAAACCCGTTTGACGAACAAACTGGTTCCAATCTGAAGTCTACAATTAAGCGTGGATTAAAATTGAATAGAACGTGAATAGAAACAAGTTTTCATTGTATATCGTTATAATACACAGTGTGTGCACGTAACGCTTTTGGACTCGTAAAATCCTAAAGGCACAACGCGTGTCCTCCGTCTACAACTTTCACAGTCCGCGTCCTACGTTAACCGTGACCTTTGAGTTGGAACAATCAGTCACTAAACCTAATAGACTCTGTACGTTAATACAGAATGAATGTACAATGGGAAATTCGTTACGCTTATAACCTTCGTGTAATTGTACCAATTTTTGTATTTTCGACAAACGTCAAAATAATTTTCCCTTATTTCAAATGATAATTATCCTGTTTCTTTTTTTTTTTTCATTCCTTCGTTTACGCATGTAAGCATAACTTGTTAAATACAAGTTCTACAGATTTTATGAATTCTAAGAAATTCCGAATGTTACTTATATTATTATTTAAAAAAATAACGGGAAAAAATATAATATATTCTTTGGTGTGTCGTAGAATTTTAGTAATTTGTTTATGTGTGTCGTGAGATAAAAAAGATTAAAAATCGCTGATATGAAGTATTATAAAACAACGACTGTAAAACTCTGGTTATCAATGAAAAGGAATATTTATTTACAACGTGACCGTTAAGATCTCATCGCCAAAATATTTGCAGCAACTATTCGCTTAAAAAGAAACAGTTTACCACCTACTAAAACAACTACATATAACGCACTACCTGTTATATTCAATTTTTGTACTAATCAGAAGTAAACAAAAATTGATAAAAATAAGAAATTACTTATGATTTATATTCTATTAAAGGATAATATTTTTTCAATTGGGTAACAAAAGAGATACCTATGTTACATAATTCAACGATATCCACTGTTCTTTCAATTTTCTACATATCAACCAGTTTTACGTATTTCGAGCTTCTATCAAACTTCTATTAAATATCAAAGACTTTTTATAAGAGCACTCTGCGGCGATATAAAAAGAGACGCTGTAACATCATTTTCTTGATCGAATTAAATTGATTTAAGCCCAAACAAACACGCTTGCATCGACCTGAACAGGGTCTTCACTGCGCACATTTAACGAGTACAAAGCAAAGTAACTCATTGTGCTGTTCATTAAAATGATAATTATCGGTCGATTTTAAAAACCTCTGAAGACTTTCGTTGCTTCAGACAAAAAATAATATAAAAACTTGCCAATTAAATTGTTATTACATAAAAATTACCTATGAAGGATTGTAAAAAACGATATAAAGATGCACGTAAGTACATCCATTTGCTTTTTTATTTACCTTTGAGATAAAAAAAAGAAGTTAAGTCAGCAAAATTTTTCTTTTTTTAATGAAACACTGTGGCATGAAAAATCAAAAGTCCAATGTTCAATTTTCCTAGATTTAAACTGCCAGTCATACTATAAAATTGTTATGGCTGCATGGATGAGCAAAATATGTTATTAAAAACAGCGTACAAATTCTGTTAGTCCCTTTGAATAAACGATATTCATTAATTATCGTTAAATGTTAGCAGGGAAAAGGGATCTAATGATCGCCTACAAGCATCTTGCGGTACTGCAAGTACTGAAAACCGGATACGCAGCTTCCAGTGTCATCTTTCTCCCTTTCATGAATATTAAATTACGGCATTTCATCAAAATTTCATGTTTTCTAATCTTTCTTTCGCTCGAGATCAACTAAAGGGGAGATGAGCAAGCATCTGAACGCGGTAAATGTTTTGTAACTCGAACCCGTAGCAATGCGACAAAAAAAAACGAGGAAAAGGAGATACCACGTGACCAATGCGCGTATAATAAATGCAATACGGTATACAAAGACGATTAGACTGTCTTTCCTCTAACAATTATGGTGCAATTTTAAATGTTACGTGTCTAAGGTCTTAACGATGGTTCAAAGTAACAGACGTTTCGTTAGTTAAAATATTTAAGAATTATATAAACTTTTATTACGTAAATAAAAAGATAAAGGTACGCATGCTTACGGTAAAACATTTGATTAACAATTTTGCACTTGAATATATGAAACCAATGAAAAATTACATTGTAAATTGAAACATTGCCCGTTAACTATCGCTTACTTAACCTAGAATTATAGTCCTAGTATACGCCCCAAATAACACTCTCATCGACAAAAAAAAAAAATTTTATAAATTGATTTTACTTTCATAATACTTCCATACTAAGCGTATAAACGCTCAACAACTGAGTTTCACGACAGAGTTACGAAACGTCGTACGAGAAGTTCGCGGAAAACCGGCAGCTATCATCATGAGAGACTTGAAATATTAAAAGGGAGATGAATTCCATAGAGATTCTCTTACCTGCTTGCCAGCGCGAGGTAACGTTTCCACGTTGGTACCGCCGACGACAGGCGCTTTTTCCGGTCCTCCATTCTGTTGGCTGACATTTATGTTGGCATTAACATTCGCGTGCACATTGGCGTTAAGATTGTTCGCGTTGTCGGTAAGGTTCGTGTTTCCTACACCGGCACCCCCGCCAGTGCCAGTTCCACCCCCGCACTTTCCTTCCTCGCCCGTCATCACTTCTGTCTCACCCTCCGCCGGTTCACCCTTGTCTCACCCTTTCGCGTTCCGTGCTTCGAGCCTTCCTTCCGTTCACTGATTACCAATGTCGGTCCGCTGGCCAGAATCCGGATATCTGCTCGAACGAGACGACGAATCATCGATCAGGAGAAACGGGTCAATCTACGGATTACCGAGCCGATTGGCTAATTCTTTCAAATCTCATTGCTTCGGTCTTCTTTCGTACCTGTCACCTTTCTATCTTTATTATCACCTCTGTACAATATCGATCGTAACGGTTAACAACTTCGAAGCCGATAGAAAAAATGTCCTGACTTTTATATCCAGAGAGAGAATGACACGATCCAACTTTTATTTAACCTACATTCTAGAAACAAATTTTTCCATACGAAGCGTTAATTTATATGAAAACGATTTTTAACGGTGCAGATGAGATATATAGTGCAAGTATATGGAACTGGAAAGGTCAAAATGAAATACCAGGAAGAAGATTAAATTTTGAAATGAGTCAGAAGCCTGTCCTGCACTTTGGCACTCATACGTGACGTCGAAGCAAAACGAAGACAAGGAACAGAATCGATTCATCTCGTTTATTTTTCGTGCAAACATTAAGAAACATCAGGGTAGCTAAAAAAGGAGCGATTCACGATCTGACCTGATTAACGTATCAACGTTTGAATATGTCCCTTATTTCGGTGACACAATATCGAGATTCATTAGAAAAGTGTACGAGAATTACTTTCGTTCACTGGTCGCTGCTATTTTTAGGATTCTCGACGCGCGATACGGGTGGTATAACGGTATATGACGAGCTGGCTGAAGCACGTTGGAAGCGGACTTCACGAGGCACATGTCGATCAAGAACTAATCAATTAACGTAACCAGCATCCATCGGAGACTAAATAGCCGGAATCAAATTGTCATTGTGCAGAAACGTCGTGTTTCCATCTCCGTTTTAACTGCATCACGAATTACACCCGCTTTCGATCGCGGTTTAATTTTAGACAATCTCATACAGGCCGGTTTCCACTGACGTTACCGAACACCAACGACGAAGTTGCCAGTGTAGTACTTGTGAGGTAGACCGACACTTACAACATGCAGACTATAGGAAATACTACCATGCATTGAAAGAAGCTAGGCAAAATAGTTTCCGGTATCTGTGAGGGCCTCGAGTAATCATACGTGTACCTCTATCGTCAGTAGTGGAACCAGGGAAAATCGATTCGGCCGTGCCCGTTTGAGCACTGCGCGCCTCTCAAGTGTACAAACCACCGCGATAAAAGCAGTCGAGTCGCGCGGGACGACCGTTTTGACTTTCGAGATGCGTAAATAATGTTTCACACATCAACACACGTGAAACTATCTTGAAGACAGTACTTTTTTTCTGAGGAAAGTACAACAAGAATGGGTATCGACATATATATATTTAGATACGTTTGCTCTTTAACGAATACAATGATAAAAGCGACATGAAAAAAAAAAACGTATATTTTCTGAATTCCTCTTTGATCTCTCTGTGTTAGACAAGCGAAAGTTCTACTGCCTAAGGGGCGAAACCAGGTACCCTTCGTTAAAACGGCAAAGATCGAAAGATGAGGAAAAGTTTATATACGATGAATACACCAAGGGTGTTCGATATTTCTGAAAGAACGGGTATCGATGAATGTAGAAAATAAACTCTATTGTTACTGCGACTACAAATGATCGCAACTTGAATTGTATGTAACTCTTTACGCAAGCAGAACTAAACGTAACTGATCGGAAATTTGTATTATAGAAAAGGTTTCGTTGAGTTCACTTTTAAAAATATGTAAATAAGAAAATTAAAATAAATCGAAAGATTTTATAAGTCATGATAATGTATAGCCGATACAAAAAGGACCCTCCATATTTCTCTAAAGCAGAAATTCTTGCCTCGGGCAATAGCCCGAGTCACTGTATACACATATATCGACTATGCCGGCCTTAGTTTCTTACTCTATAAAATCGCACATTATATTTTGCGACCAATACTTTAAAGCATTTTACATGCTTCGTTTCTCCCTACTTTCACATTACTACGATCTTCTCCATCCAGTCAACTTATCGAATAATCGCTTCGTAATCGAATCCTGATGCACGGAAAAATGACGCGACTAACCAGAAAGCTACAGGGTGTTGTAGCGATACTTAGGATTTCTGAATACCAACCACAGGATACCGAGGCACTTTTCCCATTAAATGTTTCTTCACTGTCAAATCACACGACGTTCCGTCATTTTTTATACGTCTGCCGTTGCGCGAACCGAACCATATATATTTGTATATATATACTACTCGAAAGGACTCAGTCTGTCTAAGAAAGTTTCGAGCGTAACGCGACCGCCCTCCTAGAAACTCCGTACGGCTTTGATCGGTTTTATAACTTCGATGGCGACGGGTACGCTTGAAGCGACGCCTGGTGATCATGTTCCAGATGCGCCGGCTACCCCCTCTTTTCAATTCAGCTTCCCGATTACCGCCATTACCTCTCAGGGCACATAAAAATCTTGATTTTTTGTCACTAAAATACTACGGAAAGAAAAATATTTCATATTATATTATATAAAACAATGGAAAAAATATAATAAATATAATAGTTACAATGTATTAGTTGTAATACAGTCCTAACTATTCAAAATGGATAACACGGCACATTATTCTTACTACTTACACGTTACTATCCTTTATCTAGCGTAAGGTTTTATATTTTAAATAAATTGTAATTTTATATCTTGCAATAGACTTTTGCACTGCTTTCTTTTTAAACTTTAAACATTCAATTATATTTCAAGATATTTGTAGCAAAAATAAATTACTTAATAAAAATTGGACTTTAATTAACTTATAAATATATCTGGGATAAAATCAATAATTTGAAAGAAATACACTTTTTGATGTAAATTATATTATACATTTAGAAATATTTCGAAACAGCTGGTTCACTTTTTTCGGTCGTTCGATTTGAAAATCAATATTAACGGTGTCACAAATATACACGAGTTCATTTTTTATAGCATCACTTCTTGCTTTGAAACTTCAATAGATAGTTTATGGTCTGACATGTACATTACATATTATAAAATTATAAAATAAACTATCACTTATGTTATACCTTGTTATTTGTAACACATTTTATACTTCCAGAAAGGGTAATACTTAATTTAATAAACTTACATTGACTAATATACTTTTATACAAGACAGGATGAAATTATTTTGACATTTATTAGTATAAAAGCAAGTTATTTTCTTCTTTCTTTTAACAGATATATATAAATAGTAAAAAAGCATTATATAGTCCAATAACT